GCCCAACTCTCACGGCCCAAGAGGAGAAAATGGGCACTACGGTAGGGGCGGTACTGTCCAAATCTGTAACAACCGGGTCTGAGTCGGGTCGGACCGTGGGCCTTTACTTCGACCAGTTCCAATCCTCTTCGAAACGGTGAGAATAGACCTAAAGGGGGTGACACGCCTTCAACAGGGGGCCAATTTCGCCAACTCTCTGATGCGGAATTAAAAGCGAAAAGAGAAAAAGGGCTTTGCTACAGATGTGACGAGAAGTATTCCCCAGGGCATCGATCCAAGAGGTGGAGGCGGCGGGTGACGAATTCCAAGATGCCATCGATACAATTTGCGAAACAACCGACAAGGAAGGAATTGAATTTGTGATGCTGTCACGAAATTCTTTCGTGGGACTGGATTCCCGAGGACGAAAACGCTGAAGGTGAAGGGAACGGTGGCGGGGAAAGAGGTCGTAGTCCTAATTGACAGCGGCGCTTCCCACAATTTCATTGATGTCAAGTTCGTTCGAGGTCAACGCCTTCCAATCAATGAGACCAAGGGCTATGCAATTGTACTGGGTACCGGAGAAGAAGTGGCATGTTCAGGAGTTTGTAAGGCCATTGAGGTTATTTTTCCAAATATTTCTGTCATCCAAGAACTTCTCCCCATTCCGTTGGGCGGTGCCGACTTGATCTTAGGGGTCCAGTGGCTCTCCACCTTAGGAGATGTCACCTTGAATTGGAGGAGTTTGATAATGAAATTTGCGTTGGGGTCTCGACGAGTGATGCTGCATGGGGAGACACGTCTTCAGTGGAACCAAGTGTCCTTTAAATCGATGCTACGTACAATTAAGAAGGAGAGACAGGGAGTACTCATTGAACTCCGCTCTATTCTTTCTAATCCTTTATGTCGTGGTGATTCTCGTACAGGGCAGCTCGCCATTGAATTAAGGCAGGTGTTAGAGAATTTTGCTAAGGTTTTTCAGCCTTTCGAGGGCCTACCTCCCTCTCGAATTCATGATCATGCCATCGAGATAGATCCGTCCACGGGACCTGTAAATGTTCGGCCTTACCGGTACCCACAGTTTCAAAAGGGGGAAATCGAGAAGCTCGTTTAGGAGATGTTGCTGGCCGGGATTATACAGCCTAGCTCGAGTGCCTTCTCCAGCTCGGTTCTATTGGTGCAGAAGAAGGATGACATTTGGCGCTTTTGCGTGGATTATCGGTCCTTAAACCGAGTCACAATTCCGGATCAGTTCCTTATACCGGTGGTGGATGAGTTGTTAGATGAATTATTTGGCGCCACCTTATTCTCCAAGATTGATTTGAAGTCGGGATACCACCAGATTCGAGTGCGCCCTAGTGACATCCATAAAACGGCATTCCGAACGCACGATGGACATTATGAATTCCTCGTGATGCCGTTTGGCTTGCGCAACGCTCCTTCGACCTTTCAATCTTTGATTAATGACATTTTGCGCCCCTTCCTCTGTAAGTTTGTTCTTGTGTTTTTTGATGACATTCTAATTTATAGTGCCACTCTACAGGACCATGCTCAACATCTCCGTTTAGTTCTACAAACTTTGGAAGAGCATCAGTTGGTGGCCAATGAAAAAAAATGCCTGTTTGGGGTGCCACAAGTTGAGTATCTTGGCCACATCGTCTCCGCGGACGGCGTTGCCGCTGACCCCGCCAAAATTACAGCTATGATTGACTGGCCCGAGCCCACCAATATTGGGAACTTCGGGGATTTCTCGGTCTCATCGGCTATTACCGGAAATTTTTTCAGAATTACGGCGTCGTCGCTTTTCCTTTGACTCAGTTGCTAAAAAAAGATAATTTCTATTGGTTGGCAGAAGCCTCTGTGGCTTTTCAGGAATTAAAGCAAAGTATGTCTATAGTACCAATCCTCGGCCTTCCTGATTTCTCGAAGCCATTTGTGGTTGAAACCGACGCATCCGGTGTCGGGGTGGGGGCGGTTTTGATGCAACAGCAATGGCCAATTGCATATTACAGCCATGCCTTATCTATGAGCCACCGCCACAAGGCGAACTATGAGCGGGAATTAATGGCGGTTGTGCTGGCAGTGCAAAAATGGCGTCCATATCTTCTGGGTCGCTGGTTTACGGTCCGCAAAGACCAGAAGGCCCTTAAGTTCCTCTTGGATCAGCGTGTGATTCCTGGCGAGTATCAGCGTTGGATTATTAAATTGATGGGTTATGATTTTGCAATCGAATATAAGCCTGGGTTGGAGAATAAGGCTGCTGATGGGCTCTCTCACCGACCAGATTTTGCTTCTTGTAGTGCCTTGTCCATGGTGGGGGGCTTTAATATAGCCGTCTTTGCACAAGAGGCATTAGAAGATGATGAATTGTCTCAGATCGTCACTTCCCTTCAGAATGGGCACCCTACACCAGAAGGATATATGCTGAGGAATGTGGTACTGTATCGTCATGGGCGGTTGGTTCTCTCCCCCAAATCTCCATCCATTCCTTTATTGCTGCAAGAATTCCATTATTCTTCGGTGGGCGGGCACATGGGTTTTCTTAAAACCTTGGAGCGCCTCCGACGTGAGGTTTATTGGAAGGGAATACGTATCCAAGTCCGTCATTTTTGTAGTGATTGTATTGTTTGTCAACAGGCTAAATACTTATCCTTGGCTCCCGCGGGCTTGTTACAACCCTTGGCTATTCCCGAGCGCATTTGGGAGGATGTCTCCATGGACTTTGTGGAAGGGCTGCCACGGTCGGAGGGGTTCAATTGCATTCTAGTGGTTGTGGATCGCTTATCTAAATATGCCCACTTCATCCCTCTCAAACATCCTTTTACGGTAGTACTTGTTGCCCAAACTTTTGTCAAGGAGGTGGTTCGTCTCCATGGAATTCCTTGAAGTTTTGTTTCTGATCGGGACAAAGTTTTCACTAGCTTGTTTTGGGAGGAGCTGTTTCGCTGCTTGGGACGTCCCTCTGCCGTAGCACGGCCTATCACCCGCAGACGGATGGCCAAACCGAGGTTGTTAACCATTGTCTCGAGTCCTACCTCCGCTGTTTCACTATGTACACTCCCTCCAAATGGAT